CCTTGTCTCCAAGGTGCTTAAGGACGATGATCAAGTCATGTAGGTTCACGGATTTACAAACTCCCAAGTGCTTTTCGACAGCTAACACTTACTAGCATTCGCCCCCTCCTGACCGGCGACCTGAAAAGACGGCGACTCAGCGGCCGACACCAGATTACCGCCGACGGCAAGCACCTCGTCGACGGCCTCGCCTTCGGGCGCCCCTGGCTTAGAGCCCCCCGAGACCGCCCTATTGTCAGTCTCCCCCCGAGAAAGAAGGCTCGAATCACATACATCAGCGAAGATGAAGAAGACTCTCCTTCAGAGGCCGAGGCAGAACGGCCAATGCTGGAGTACGAATCCACAAGAGCACAGGAGGACCCCTCGAGCGTCCAGCTCCGCACGCGGTTCTACAATGCAGATATAGGCAGCGACTCTGAGGCAGACGAGGACGACTTTGAGCCTGTCGCCGCCGACGATGACGATGAGGGCATGGATTCGGATAATAATGATATTCAGGATGAGCTTCGTATGCTTCGAGAAGACAATGCCGCCGTTCGAGAAGGCGATATTCTTGAAGAGCTGCGAAACATTAGAGATAGGAGAGCATCCAGTGGGACAGCTAGCAGCAGGCGTTCGTTGGAGACGTCTGATGACTCTCCAGTACCGTCAGCGAGCAATGCGCTAGTCAGATCTGCAGGAAGGTCGAACAGGTTCCACCTAAACCTGGACACGCTCGACAAGATTGCTGCACTGAGAGCCGCGTTTCCTAGCGCTCAGGTCTCGACGATCGAAAGGGTGCTGTTGAGATACGGCGCGAATTTCGCAAGAGTATATCGCAAACTGAACAAGACATTCGAATCCCGTCTCAGCCTCCAGCAGACTTTGGACCATCAGGCGAGGAGTCTATCCAGCAGTCCAATCCGACACGCGAACTCGAACATGGGGCGTGAGCTCGTTCTCCGAGAATCGAGTCCACTTGATCGATCCTCTCACCCCACATCCAATGGCCAGGATGAAGAGGAGGAGGAGGATGATAGCGATGAAGCTTCAGAGACCATAAACCATAATGCTCAAGCCGATCGTGCTTCGATTGGCAGTGACGAAATCTCAACTTCGGACTTCGAATCAAGTTCCGACGGCGCAACATCTGAGTCTGATGAAGAGATGGGCATTGCTTCCGAAAATGATACAGTGGCCTCTTCTTCCGATGACGAATCCGACAGTGAATCAAGTGAAGCGGGAGGCGATGGGCCTGTTATGGATGAAGACAATTCGGACTCGGCCGACGAAGAAGCCTCGAGCTCAGACGACGATTCGAGTTCCGACAATTCGTCTAGCGATGAGTCAAGTATGGCATCTGCAAAAGACCAGTTATACGCAAAACAGGTCGCGATCGTCGAGGTCTCATCCGATTCGTCGTCAGGTTCATCTTCAGACGACAGCAGCAGCGAAGATTCTAGCTCGGATTCCGAACCTGAGGAGCTTCCCAGCAAGACCCTCTCTAGCCAACGGATTCTTTTTGAATCCAACAAAACTCCGGAGCCGACACAAGCAGCACCAGTCGCCGCAGCTCAGACAAAACAACAGCAGCCCGACGTGCCTCCTGGTCAGGGATTGAGCAAGACGCAAAAAAGGAACGCGAGGCGCAAACTTGCTAAGAAAATGGCCGGCCAGAAGGGGTCCCCGGCGGCTCAGAATGGCGAAGGGTTGTCCCCAGCGGAGGTGTCTGAGATGCAGGCAGCATTCTTGGCAAGAAAGCAAGCCTTACTCAACGCTATTACATCCGACGGCCCGGCTGAGGCTAGTCAAGAGAAGGCCCTTGAGATCCCCGACTCTGCACCTCAAGATGTCGAAACATCAATTGCCGATGCCGACATGGTAGAGGCTTCACAAAGCCCCGCCGCGCAAGAAGCCGCCTCTCAGCGGCGCATGAAGCCCAATGTCGGAGCTGCCCGTCGCATGCTCATGGGATCTTTGGGGCTCAAGAACCCGAAAAACAAGGCTGACGAAGACAAGATTCGTCAAGGTCTGATGAAGGGTGTCCGACCTCACACCAACGCTCGTCTGTCAGGAGGAGCTTCTCAGCCTAGCGAATCTACTCAGACCCAAGAATCGGTAGAGGAAGATCCCGAAGCCTGGCGCGAGAAAATCGCTTACCGAGCCGTAGAATGCTGCCACGACGGAGTCGAGCTGTCCGAACCGCCCTTCCCTTTTGTCCAGCGTTGGGACCCTCAACAGCAGGTGGAAGAATGGTTCGGTTCAAAGAATAAGCGCGGGGGCAAGCGTAAGCGCGTACAGCGCGATCAAGCTCAATATCACGAAGATGCCGAGTCTCAATCGTCGAAGAAGCGTCGCGTAACCGACGATAGTTTTGGTGTGACCTTCTCCGACGCGGTTGAGTCTGCTCAAGAGGGAGACACGATACTCAATTACGACGATCCGTCTGACGATCCACCGGCAACCAAGAAACCGGCTGAAGAAAGCCAGGCGACGGACATTGACGATCTCCCTTCACTTCCATCCGATCTGTCCACTCTTCCGGACCTTCGCCCAGGAGAAGCCAGACTTGGCATGGTTGTCACATGGAAGCAACTGGTTTTGTCATCACAAACCAACTGGCAACCCCAAGTGGTGAGCTTGACCGGCGTTCTCGTCAGGATCTATGATGAGGACGCATCCGATCTTGAATTCATATTGGCCCATCGTGATCGAGGCGTCGATCGGACCGAGAAGACCTACGACGAAGAGACTGGCGAGAGAGTGTACGATCGCTTCGAAGCCCCCGATGACGACGAGGATGACGAGGATGTAGAAAACGAACTCGAAGAAGGACATCGACGTGTGAATTATCTGGAACTGATCGAGCCCAAGATTGTGCAGTTTCCTCTGGAAGATGACACAAAACAGGGCGAAAACGAGAAATCGGGTGCCTCGGAGGGCGAAAGTGGCCCTACAGACAGCGTCATTCACGAAACCGTATACGACGGCCAAAGCCAGCCGTCTCAGGTTAATGGAGAAATTTCTGGTCAGTCCGAGGTGGGTGAAGTTGGAAGTCAGTCAAAAGTCGATGCAAAGGGAAGTCGAGCCAGGGCTAATACGGGTGAACAACAGCCTCAAGTCGTCGCGGGTAGTGACCCCCATCTTGATGCATCCGCGGACGTCGATGAATCTAGTCAACTCGATACACACTTGAGTGGTAATGACGACAATATGGACGAAAGCGATGTGCCTACCCCCCGAGCCAAACGCCAATCGAAAGACGATAATACGGTGCCGACAACAGAAGATGACTCTCAGAACTCCAATGGCAATGCCCTCTCCATCTCATCGGATCGTCGTCATGAGATCAGCATCATGGTCGAAGAAGCAGGCTTTCGCAAAGATGTGTCACCGTCAGTCATTCGTCACAAAACAAGCAGCCCTTCCCGCCAGTTGCTCGACCAGCTGCAAGCTGCCAATGCACCCCGAGTCATTTCGAAGTCCCCGTTGTCCCAAGACAGCGTTGCGAGGAACGTTGCGCCAGCGCCGGATAACAGTGGATATGCGGCTACTAAACTCAACGCTGAAGACGCCATTCCGCCGCCGTCATCTGTGAGTAGCATTCGCAGTGGTCGGCAACTCGACCCGGATGACTTTAGCTTCAATATGGGGGGCGACGACACACAGCTGATGAGCGACGCTGGTCATGGTTCCCCTTCTGTGGATGCATCGACTCCGAGAGCTCAGGTCCGCACGCCAACCAGAGATAATGACACTCCCGAGCCAAACTCAGGCGAGAAGTCTTCTCTCCCGTCACTGGAGAGCCTGTTCAAGACGGCCTCGCAGCGGAATTCGCAGAAGAACACACAGAGTCCATCCAAGTCCCCGATATTGTCGGTGACAGAGTCACGGAAGTCCCTCGTTTCTCGCGATGAAGAATACGAAGCCGCCATGCGCCAAATCGACGAGGCTAATGAAGACGGTGAAAACGGGGTAGAAGAAGATGAGTCGCCCAATGAATTTGGGAAGATACGGAGGGAACTGTTCCCCAACTCGAGTCAGCCAGAGGGAGTGACTCTCTCTGAGTCGCCAGACTTGCCGGATCTCAAGCCGGCTAAGTCAGTGCCCTCATCACTCGTCGAGGTGGAGGACATCAAGCCCCGTCGACTACGTGAGCGGGTCCGGACAGCCTCTCCATTTGTGGTTCCTGCTGGATCGCTGGTAGTTACATTATCTTCGAGCCCGCCTAGCTCGCCGCTGGGGGAGAATTACGCGGAAGACGATGTTGACGAGGACTATGAGGAGAACAACAGCAGTAGTCTTCCGCGTGGATCCGGCTGGGTGCAGAAAAGCAAGCCCCCCAAAGCCAACCCGCGGGCGAAGAGTGTGCCGGCAGCGAGAAGCACGGCCAAGACGGCGACTGCGGGTAGATCCGTTCCTTCGAGCTCGATGCCCGCAAGATCCGCCGCGAAGGGGAAGGGGCCACGCAAGTCATCGGCAAGGTTCTAGGAAATGTTGTCTGGCACGAAGCGTTAGGCAGATAGTGTGGCGGGGCATCTGCATGTGTATGTAATAGGGGGTCGAGAAGTTCTCGACATGTTTACTAGCTTTTTCTTGCTTTGAGAAATGAGGATACCCGTACCCGGCAGGGTACTCTGCATCAATGGACCATATTGTGCAAAAGTCAACGTCCGCTATCCATTCACGCCGTTCTTGCATGGGCTGCGGTGCAACCGTGCGAGTGACCTGTTTGATCGAAACAGGTTTTGTGGAATTCCAGACTAGTAGGGTGTAGATCCACGGGTGTGCCTGCCACTGTAACATCGCGTCGGACGCTGTCGTCTGCATCGTTGCGTGTAAATCACTCAATGTGGGCGTCTTGCCAGCTGTATGCGCCGCGTCCCGCTTTATGGGCTGCAGATCGGGTCCGAGATGGACGGACCACGGAGTTTGAGGGTGGCCGATGGCCGAGTCTAGGGAAACAATTCCGTTAGTGGTCGGTTGTTGAGGCCGGTTGTTTCGCCGACTTATGTTGAGCTGATGAACCTGCGGCAACCTGCGAAGTAAAGAATCCCTGGGCTTCTGTAGTTCGTCTTCACTTTTTGCTTTTGACGACGAATAAGCTTATTCTTGGCATTCTCATAAACTTTCACCTCTGTGAACCTTGGATATCGGCCAATGACAGGGGGTCTATATCCCAACCAGACTGAACCATTTTACCTTGCCAATTTCGAAAACACTATACGATGAAAGCTGGCAAGGACGTAGGTGGTGAGGAACAGGCTCTCTACCAGTGTTCCAGATGTCGACGTCGCTATCATCGTGCGGAGCATCTTGCGCGCCATGTCAGGTCTGTGCATACCAAGCAGAGGCCGTATGCGTGCAGGGTCTGCGGGAAGGGATTTGGGAGATTGGATGTGTTGAGGAGACATGAGGTTAACACGCATGGTGGCGGTGGCGGCGGTTTGCCTGAGCCTGAGACGGCGGTGGTCGTCGTGGAAGGGGATGATAAGTTGTCGAGGGAGGTTGAGGGTAGCGAGAGGGTTAGGTTGGCATGTAAGGGGTGTAAAGTTGCCAAGGTGAAGTGTTCTGAGAGAAAACCTTGTGCAAGGTGTGTTGGACGGGGAGGTTTATGTGAGGTTGAGGGGGAGAATTGCGTTGAAGGTGGCCCTGGTTCTGATTTTTTGGATGAGGTTCAGGCTGTACCGGAGGATTACACACAAACGCGGTTGGATGACCAGAGAGCCCTCGACGAGACAGCGCCAGCGATGATGATGATGATGATGGATGACTTTTCCTTTGGCGCGGAGTGGAATCTGGCGATGTCTGATTTATCGTACCTGCAGACTCGGTTCGATACGGTCGGCCCGGAGGGGTTGGAGGTCACCGCATCTGATGGGGCGAGGCTGGCACAAGAGAAGGAGCAGGAGCAGGAGCAGAACGGCGGCATCGGTATGTCCATATCGCCACCCATGACGCCGGAGAGCCACGGCACTGGATCTTGGGAGCCGTCGAGCGATGAGAACAGCGAGATGGAAAGGCCGCACCTCGCTGCGGACGAGGAGAGTTTGAAGGCCGGGGGAACACCACGGACACCGGAGACGCCTGACTTTGGTTGGTGTAGTGATGGAAAGGGCAGCGGTGTCGTCGATCTGTCCATTTCACCAGCAGCGCGGAACGCTATTGTCGGTATGATTCTTGACAATACATCCCGTGCCAACGCCGGCCCTGTTATAGCTGCTTTCCCGTCGGTGGGGGCGCTCGATGCGCTTTTAGGGGCGTATGCTGGCGACTGTTGGGGCAGATCATCATCATCATCATCATCATCATATTGTTCTTTAACAGCGGCGGGTAAGTATGGGATCATCGACGTAGTACACCTTCCTACGCTACGGCTTGACCAGCAGAGGCCGGAGTTGTTGGGCGCCTTGATTGCCGTGGGCGCTATCAGGGCCGGTTCGGCTGTGGCGAGGAGGTTTGGCCACGCGATGCAGGATGTTGTGAGGGTTTCTTCTTTTCGGAGTGTGAGTGTCTTCCTCAGCCTTCTTCTTTGTCTCTTGACAGTCTTCGAAGGGGGAAGAAAACATGCTCTTCCCTTCCTACTTCAGTTGCTAATGAGAACGACAGTGGGAGAAAAACCACGCCAACCTCTGCGACATCAGCCTGTCCCAAGCCTTTTTCCTGCAGCAGCACATCGCCTTCTTCAGTAGCATTCGGCGAAAGGTTGCTTTCGCGGAAGCCTGTTCTGGGTGTATGCAGGTGATGATGAAGAACGGCGGGCATATCCAAGGAGCGATGGAGACTGATCAGGCCCTCTATCAAGCCGAGAGTCTTTACACCCTGAATGATGGAGCTCTTGAGGACGTTTGGCGGAGGTGGTCTGTCCGTGAGGCAAGAAGGAGGTTGGTGTATGCTGTGTACATCATGGATAGCCATGTCGGGATAACGCATGGGATTAGGGGGATGGCGAGGTACGGAGACATGAGGCTTCCTCTCCCTGCACCGGCAGGGTTATGGAGGGCTGAGTCGGCGGTGAAGTGGAGGGAGGAGATGGTGCGGTCAATGCCGGGGTCAACAATATCTCCTTCTTCTTCTTATGCCTCCTCCTCGCTATCTCCGGCTCTGTCTTTGAGGGACTTGATGGGCGATCCAACGCTGATCGCTAGATCCTACCACCGCAGTAGGGTGAACCAGAACTTCGTCGCTCTAGGCTTCTATGCTGGTCTCTGGGCGCTTGTTGAAGAATGCCGCCAGCTGAAGGCTATCAGTGGCCACGGACAATGGAGCGCCATGATCTTATCCTCGCGGCGGATGGAGCTGGGTTCAATGCTCAAACTGTTTGAGTCTTCTTTACGAGCGGCGGGGTGGGCGGTGGCTCCTGCTTCGGAGATGATGTACGAAGTTCTTCATATGTATATCTCGACGTCGATGGATGGAGATGAGTTGCGTGGTACTGGTATGTCACCGTCGCTGTCGCAGCAAATTCACAGCGAGGCTTCGGCAAACGGGATTGAGGAAATCCCGGAGGACTGGGTCGCGGTTTGGAGAGCGGGTAAAGTTCTTCGTGCGGCGAGGCGGCTTGAGCCAGGGACGTTGAGTGGGGTTTATTGCGTCGCTCTCCGGGATGCTACTGTTCTTCTTTGTCGATTTGGAAGGAGTATGTCTTTGCGGGAAAAGGTGGTGATGGGGCAGCATCGTCCAAGGCCGGGATGTGGTACTGGCGCCGCTGCTGTGTTGGTGTTGGATGGAGAGAAGGATGTGCAAGAGTATCAGGTATTGGACAGGAACGTCCACCTTATGCTGCGCGGCACCGGAACGGAAGAGGATAATGTGGAGATTGAGGACGTTGCGGGTGTGATTAGGTTGTCGCGGAGGATCATTAAGGGAAATTGGAAGGGCTCGAGAATGCCGGGCGGTGTTGAGGAGGTTTATGGTTTGTTGGATGGTCTCGGGAAGGCGTCTGGTCCATGAGATGTTGATGGAGAAGAAAGAAGGCAAAGGGGAGAGAGGAACTTCCATTTGTTGATAAAGTGTGGCGTAATTCAGCGGGAAGTCCGTATCGATACTTCCTCCTTGTCTTCTACTTGAAGGCAGCAGTCAGCAACTCAGAAGACTTCCGTGGGCGAAACACAGGTGATCGGCTTCACTCCACCAGCCGGTTCTGAGTCCGAGATCTCTTACATTGTTATCAATAGCTCTCTGAGCACTGTTTGACTACTTATGTACTATGTATTGAATTACATTGGCATTACCGCCTATCCTTCTTCCTCCTAGACCGCTTTCCCTTTGGATGCTTCTGTTACTTGTGTCGCGTTCTAGCACGAGTTGATGTATACAGTTATCAATCAGCATCATAACGACCCATCCGAGAATTATATCATAGGAACCAAATAGAAGACACTGTTGCTATCGTTGACTGCATTTCCCCTTACAATCAAGTTGAATGAGGGATACACGACTCAATCTCGGGGCTGCTCATCAATCCACACATTTAGCAGCAGCTTGAACAAAACACGCGGTACCTTCATCCCTCTCTCCACTTCCCCGAATATCATACATATCGGATCAGTTGTGCAAAGTGACGCTAACGGCAGCTTCGGAAGGTGGTGCAGCTGAGCCGAATCAGCTAGCTAGCCTCCGTACTAAGATCGCCGGCTCGGCTCTCCACCTCCGGATGACCCCTCCCAGTTGAAGGTAAGCAACATTCTTACGTCAACGTGTCAACGTTATAATCCTTCAAGAATTTCTTAGTGGCTGTAGCTTCTTACTAAACTCCAGGTCAAGCGTTCTATAAACTACCGCATCCCCCAAGGAAATCCTCGTGTGTGGGTTCTTGACTTACTCATACCTGCCAAGCATACTCGTATCTTTCACCAGTATGACGTCTTATTGTAATACGCGAGACGAACGATGGAGGCTTCCGCCTCGGAAGACTCTTCATCCTAAAGAAACAGACGAAAGACTTCGGATTGGCATCATTGGAGCGGGCATTGGAGGGTTGATGGCGGCAATCGCCCTACTGGAGAGTGGCCACGATGTCGAGGTGAGCCTATGAGACTGGGAATGACCCCTTTCAGTGAGAATCCACTCAGACATTTGAATAATTTACCAGATATACGAGAGATCTCAGTTCAAGAGCGAAGTCGGGGCCGCGATCTCGACGCCTCCAAACTCCACGAGAGTACTCAATTACTACGGGTTCGACTTCGAGCGGGCCAGGGCCACCACCGCGGAGAAGGTGAGTCTTTTCCTTCATTCCCAGGTCCACTTGTACAACTCATAACATCTCTTTATTGCGGTTCTAATTCATGTGAAAAAAGTACATATACTACGACGACCCCAACAACATTGACAAAACGCGGATGGTGACATGCACCGACTACACACCCAGATACGGAGCTCCGTGGCTGTTCTTCCACCGGGTCGATCTCCATAACGAGCTTAAGCTACTAGCCACAGAGCCTACTCCGTCGCGGAAGAGCGTTGCTCGCTTGCATCTCGGCGTCAAGGTGTCTGATATCGACACCGACGGGACCATTCACTTTGAAAATGGCGAGAGTGTCCAAAAAGACGTTCTCATCGCGGCCGACGGCATACGAGTGAGTCTTACTCATCCCTACACAGATCGCTTTGTAACGACTGATCATGGTCACAGTCTTCCTTCATCTCAAAGGTCGTGGACAATGCTGCGCTTGCGCAGCACTACATGTCGATGCTCCGGCTGATGGCTCCTGTAGAGGACCTTCGCGACGACCCGGACGTCGTGGCTCTCTTTAAAGATGGCTTGACTTCGATTCGCATCAGCTATGGGACCATGCGAAGTGCCATTATCTACGGATGCCGAGGGTACGCGTTACCCAAGTCAACCCTGCCCTTTACTGTATGTCCCAGAAGCTAACAGGGGTTCACCGATTACAGGGGCTCTCTTCAAAACATCGGCTTATTATATCATCCTGAACTTGCCATTGACTCAGAAGGTAAGTGATTCAGACCAATTTTCCTTTGCAAGACTCTCTGCTCACCTCTCATTACCAAGGCAACGACATTTCGGCAAGAGAAGACTTTGTCTATAAAGTCGTCGAAGAGTATCCGAAGCCTGTGCAATCCGTCTGCATGTAAGTTTCAAGCTTTCGAGCACTGGAAACAACAGAAACAGGTCTCATTAACCAATCTCGTGATTTATAGAAATGCAAGAGGTGTCGGGCAATGGAAGGTCTTCACCCGAAAGCCACTTGACAGGCTCGTGCGGGGCCGAGTGGTCCTCATAGGAGATGCGGCGCATCCGATGCCCCCAGGTAAGCACACGGAACTACACCCCAGCATATTCACCAATGCCTCCCGGACCAAGGTCCCGGTGAAGTGTGACGATGACTGACTTCTCTTAGTGCGCGCTCAAGGTGCAGCCATGGCGATTGAAGACGCCGCGGCGCTGGGCGTGCTGCTCTCAAACGTGACATCGAAAGACGACATCTCGACCCGGTTGGACATGTTCAACCAGCTGCGTTTGAAGCGCGTGGCGGCAACCCAGACTGTGTCTTCAATGCACCAGTGGGATCCGACTCGTGTTTCCGAGGAGCAGAGACAGTACTTTGACGGCGATGTCCCGCGTAAGTGTTGTCCCCTAATCCTTGTCTCTTCGAGAACCTGCGCTAATTACTGCTTCTTTTACCCGGGGATCTAGAGACCATAGACGACATTGAAATATTCAGTTACGAGAACAGTGTCATCCGCGACGCATTCGATCTGTTGGAAAGGGCTTGACGTGGAACGGTAGCCTTTGGTGATTCAGGGAGGAGGGACATGATGAGGCTTAGAGTGACTTAAATCTGGTAGTCGGTAGACAAATTCATCCTGTGTTTATTCCAAGATATCATACGTCCCATGTGACACCATTACCTACCAAATGAATACACGAGAAGGGCATATACCCCCCCTCAAGTCCATTCCTGTCACCAGCTAGCAAGCGCCCCCTTGGGGGTCAGGTCAAAATTGGCTGGGTGGTGGATGTTGAAGTCCACGAACAGCCTAATCGGTGAATGCTCAGAGGTCCCGAGTTCGAGTCGATAAAATCTCAGCATGTGCGCCAGAGATGCAGCCCCCGTTCGCCACCGGGGGGGTGGAACTCTTTTGTCTTTTTTTGAATCTTATAAGTACTTCAGCATTGTAACTATTTTTAGGAGTGTGAAGCCACTAGAGCATCCAGCAGAAATTGGGTTTTTTGAACTTGGGGTTGTTAAATCATTCAAGGAAAGAAGGATGGGCCAAGAGTTAAGTACAGCTTGCCTTGCAATGGGGGCTTGTAGATCCAGCAGGTAACGAAGAGCCGCTACCTTCCGTATTTTGTGTAAAGTTGCACTGACGCCAAGCAAGTGCAATAAGAATCTTCTGTGAGCTCCTTCCCGTTTACCTTGACCTGGTGCATGTGTGAAGATGGAAGATAACGCCGTACTTTCCGCCATTCGCGTGAGGCGTCGGGGTGTACCTAATGTGCGGTCCTTGCCAGAAGTAGCCGCTCTCAGAGATCTTCGGATTATCTGATTGTCCAGCGTTCGTTCACGTGTCACTCCCGTCTTTTCAGCGACCGAGTCCTAGTAGGTGCGCTGAAGTGATTGAGGCACATTTGCCTTCTTCTCCCAAGACGGAACGGGGCCCATGATCCGTGTGGGGCCTGGGCCCAGTCGGTCCCGTCTTTCCGTCGCCGTTGTGGGCCACACTCCCGTCCCGTATTCGCAGAGGTACTCATCCAGAACGGAGGTGAAGATGTCGGGCACCTGCCCAAGAAACCCATTCTGAACCGGTTCGTCCCCAGTCATCCGGATGCTACATGTAGCTGCATTAGAGCCGTCTCCAATCCAAAGTAATCACTTCCAATAGAGCAAGAACCGCAACCCATCGCACTAGCGAATCCTCCCCTCCCCAAAAATCGCAAAGTGGCCTCCCACCCAATCATTCCCCACAACACCAACACCTTCAAACATACACGCAAACAAAAAAATGACGAGACACCACGCAAACCCCCCGGTACCATGCAATCACCAAACAAGAAACATGCAAAAATTGGCTAATCCGCCTTCTAGAAAGGCGACGGGGGAAAAGGTGCCTGAATGATACCCCACTAAGATGCCAACCGCGCTTTAGTCCAGTCGCACCCCCATCCGTTCTCTGGAACGCGAACCCCAGTGGCTCCTCCTGCATACCAAGCGCAGGATAGAAACCTCCCAATCCACCACCGCCTACCATCCATCTACCATTGTTTTTGCTTCCCGCGTCACGACTCACCATCAATCAAAATGTTCCAGGTGCTTCTCGCCCCCAAAGTCAGTGATCACAATGACGAAGAAAGTGATAAAGGCACAAACGTGGCCGGTCGAAATCCCAGATCATGTTTCCTTGTCTCATTGACGTTGACACTTCAATGTTCAACCACCCATTGTTCGACTAAGCATTCCAACATTCTCTTCTAATCGTACACATACCTACTAAACACCGAATAGCCTCAAGGAGCAATTCCTGTTCATTTCTTACTTGACTTATATCAAAAAGAGAGCCGGTCTCACTCACCTCATCTTTAATCCTCCTAATATCTCATACCCCAAAAAACCATCAACAACCTCATCTTTAAAAACCCACGATGCATCTCCTCTCTCATCTCGTTCTCTCCCTCATCCTCCTCGCAACCTCAACATCAGCCCTCCCAGCAACACCAGCAACACCCACCCCACAACCAACATCAACATCCTCACCAGACACACAACAACCTCCAATCCAGCCCTTCCTCCCCACCACCGGCGCGGCCCTCCTCCCAACAGGCATTTCCGCCTCTCCACGCCCGAACCCGAACCAGCCTCAGTCGCAATCTCCAGCACCATCACCAATCTACACTACCCTCACCCCCAAATTCCCACCCTCAAACTCCTCCACCTCCTTCCCATCGGGGCACCACAACTCCACATCGCCCTGCGCATCAGGCCGACCCCTCCGCCTAGGCCCAGCCCGCCTCCACAAGAAACCACACAACCAAACCTCCTTACCGTCCCCTTCGCCGTCAACAAACACACCTCAAACAACCATCCCCGCCGAAGCTACCGCAGCCGCAGCCATCGCCGCAGTAGAAACACCCACAGACTCCGGCCCCCGAGACTACGCCTCCCTCATCCCCCCGCGCCCGGCGTAACCCCCCGTCCGGAGCCGAACCTCGCCGAGATGGGATACTACCAGACAACATACTACTCCTGCGCGACGCAAGGCACGTCGACTCACTGCGGCTGGCACAGACCCCTCATGGTCGCGCCCGCCAATAACGCTGGCACCGACGCCGGGAAACGCAATGCAGGCATCGGGGCACTGGCCGTCGCTATCGTTGTCAGTGTATTCGTGGCCAGATGAGTCGGCGCTATGGGAGCGGTAGATGTAACCCACCTCACGGATCGATCTCTATCTAACCGGCGAGATCTTCACCTACACGCTGAAGCCGGCCGGCTACCGGCCAGGTTCTCGGGGGACTGGTGGCGTCCTGTCCCGCCCCCTGAACTTACTCGGAGAAAATCCGACTAGCGCGCCTCACGGGGGCTAAGACTTCCACGATACAAGCGGCAGGAGCCGTGGCTGAGGCGCCAGACAGATGTCGGGCTGAGATGCCAACGATGGTAGTAGCCTCGTGCGGCTGGACACAATGTCAAAGCGGGGGGGGGGGGGGAGAAGAGGGAGAAAAAAGCTTAGCCTCTACGGGGCCCCCTGACGAATGATGATGAATGATTGATGACCATGACCGATTCGCCCAGCTGGCTGGGCTAGTATGAACCGAAAAGACAGTCCACATGCCTCACGGCAATGGCACACAAATGGCCGAGGAGACCTGCTTCACGGTAAAGATGAAATGGACGAGGATTGGAACCGCAGATGGGCATTTTTGGACAGTTTCTTGTACATCATTTGAATACAGCTTATGAAGATAAGAAAACAAAAAATATAACAAAAGGGAAGAGAGAAAGAACACTCACTACCTGCCTTTTTGGCTCCGCCCCAAGGAAAATTCCCACGTTCTTTTCTTTCACCTTCTAAAGCTCGGGTATTTCAGAACAACATTGGAACAGAGAAACCAGAGGAACGAAAATGTTGGAAGGGGGCCAAGAGAAAAGAATAAGCCAGCAGCCCGTGGAGAGAGAGAAAAACGTATGATGATATGTTGAAAAAGCCGCCCTTGCTCCCGTCTTCTTGGCTCTTCCTCCTGTTTCCCCCTTTCTCTCCGTCTTTTTCTCCATATCAGCGTAGTTAAAAAAACGTTACATCAAGAGGTTTGGTTTAGTAGAAAGAAGAAAAAGAAAAGGTCTCGGCGTGGTTGATAGAACTCCGTTGCTGCCGAAAAATGAATTCTGAGGAATGAGCCGCTCTGTTCTTCGAAGTAAGCCCTGGCAGCGCGTTCTTGCAGAGAGATCTTTTCCTGCGTCCACCACCCGGGCTGCGATGGGTGCTTAGACGTTTGTTGGGGATCTAGACTGTTCCCCCCGTCGAACTCGGTTCGGCAACGTTGGATGCCTCGGTACGCATTCATTGGATAACAACACGTATCGGGAAAGGTGAGATGGGGTAGACACGCGGTCGGCTTGGTCGAGGTTTCGGTGAGTCGGTGAATCATGAAAGAGTCGGATTAGTGGTCGAGAAAGGCATTCGCCGCTCGTCTTGTCGTCTACTTCTTGGCTGGGGCAGGTGGTGCCTTGACGTTGTTGGACAGCCAGGCCAAGCCCTCGAGCAGGCCCTCGCCCGTCGTCGCGCAACTGGGCACAACGTACCAGACCTTGTCTTTCAATTTTGAGAGGTTCAGGGCCTCCGTGACTTCTTGCGGCTTCATGGCTGTGATTGCGGTCAAGCATGGTCAGCCTACCAAACGTGTCCCGATGCAAAGGGCCAGCGGGGCAGAGCCCGAGCCGTTGGGCGCTACGGCCAACCACTGGAGTCGAGGGTATGGTTGGTTTAGACTTACCTCCGTTGACGTCCTGCTTGTTGGCAAAGACTAGCAGCAAGCTGTCCTTCATTTCGCGATCGTTGATGATTCTGTGCAACTCCGACTTGGCCTCCTCGATTCTCGCGCGATCCGACGAGTCAATGACGAAAATAAGACCCTGAGTTCCTGTGCGAGGGTAGTGGTATCGTCAGTATAATTGAATCACACAAAAAGTAGACAACCCTGAGGCGGCGGCGGGGAACATAATGGAGGAGAAGGGATGAGAGAACAGGCAAGGACTCACCGCTAAAGTAATGTCTCCAGAGGGGACGGATCTTGTCCTGACCACCGACGTCCCAGACGTTGAACTTGACATTCTTGTAGGTGACAGTCTCGACGTTGAAGCCAACGGTGGGAATGGTGGTGACGTCCTGGCCGAGCTTGAGCTTGTAGAGGATGGTGGTCTTGCCGGCGGCGTCGAGACCCAGCATCAGCAGGCGCATCTCCTTTGATCCGAAGATCTTGCCCATCATCTTTGAGAGTTGACCACCCATTGTGACTATCGGGAGGCTGTTATCGTGGGTTTCGTGGCGGTAGGGGGGAGTCGGACGGTCGGTGTTGTTGTCGAGGGTGGGAGGGCTGGCTGGCGGTGGTGCGGTGTCGGGCTTTTAAGGGGACGTCGTCGCAACGTATGATGGATCGCTGGCTCTGGATTTCCTCGTGTCCAAAACTTGGGGGACGACAGGCGGGATTGACAGTTCGAAGGGTGTCGCGCGTAATTGAATCCCAAAACGCAGCGGTCGTCGGGGTGGGAGAGGGTTCCGGGGTTGAGCGAAGGAGAGTTGCGGGAGAGAAGGAGTGTGTGGTGAATGGCAGAAGCTATCACAAGAAAAAAAAAAACGACCAACTTTGCGATTTGACGGTAAGGGACCTTGGGCGGTGGTGGTAGTTGTTGGTGCAGGCGCTGTGCGGCGTACCTAACTACCTGATCGGGGATCGGAGGTTGGGGGTCGAATGGAGTTGGGCACTTTCCACTTTCCACTTTGTAGCGACCGGGCAGCCTTTCGTTCGCTCGGGCGTTGCGTGGGACGTTGGAGTAGGTACACCACACCGTATAGGTACCGAGACGTGTGTGAACTGTGAAGGATGGCTGGGAGACAGATGCAGAAGCAGGGAGGGAGCAAAGACGCCAAGACGGTATCGAAACGGGCCAATGGACAGCTATATTTGGGCTGTGATTAATGCTAGCCGTCATCCGAAACGAAGTGAGTGCGCTCACTAATGTAAGGAAACGTACAGAGTAAGGTCAGGTACCTTCTTGTCAGATACGTTAGTACAGATACTTTAAACCATCTGTGCTTCATGGGTACGAGAATACCTGCAACCTGCCATGCCATACAACATTGATTGCTGACTCCAGATATGAGGCATGAGCGTACATACAGCATACCTTGTTTTCGAATTATCTGACAAAGACCAGACCAGATCAGCAAAGAACCATCTTGGGCTGTTATCGAGAGTCCATAGGACGTGGGCAAGGGCAATGGCAATGGGCATATGCGGTTCGGCTTCTCATGCGTTTCAACCGTTTGCCCACCAGCTGGTCGGTGGTGACTGGTCAGGCGGGCAGAACCACAGACCGAACCACAGACCATCAAACACTCCTCACCTCATCGTCCCCTATGGAGTACGGAACCATGCCACTCACCATGGGTAGTTACATCAGCAATTCAACACTTGAAAGTTGCCTCGGGTTCGTAACTTGAACCCTCTCTGAAGCGAAGCGGGGGACCCAATTGAAGCGAGAGGGGCCGCATCAGTCCGAAGTAATCCGTATGGATGTATGGATATTCGCAATCACGTTTAGATGGAATTATTGAATCTCGAGCAATGCAGCGCTCGCCCCGGGGCGCATGCACATTGCACATGACATGACAACTCCAGCAACTCTGTTAACCGCAGCCCACATCAGTCATCATCACCAACAACAACAACAACAAACGCAGGCCCCATGCCTTGTCCAAAGCTTTTTATTGTGGAACATGACGGCCTCTGTCCCTTTCCCTCTCTTCCTCTCTCTCTGCGTCTCTGTATCTCCTCCCTCCGTGGACATTGCCCCCTGGTCTATCCATCTTAGGCAAGGTATGAATAAAAAAGACACCAATTCTCGGAGATTCAGACGCAGGTCCGCGGGTGCTTTCAGGTACGTACCCGCTCCCGCTCCCACACCAGAACATCTCCAGTCCAAACGGAGACATGCAAGCTGCCCCGGAGCCAATCAGCCTGCTCGTGTACCTTTTTTTCGAGGTGGATCCCAAACAGCCAGGGCCCCGAGGGGTCTTCTTTCCCCCCTGTGTCCTTCAGGTTGCCTCTCTCTCCCCTCTCTTTTCTTGTCCTCTCTGATTGCTCGACCTGCGATCTGACTCTTTTCTACAACTCGAACCAATCCATGCCCTCAATCGTCTTTGACTACAGAATATGATATCTTTCCATCCCTCCAGTCCATGACATGATGAGACTGACTACCTTACCTTCATGCCCCAAGCCCCTTGTTATCGTGGCTGTCGCTCTAGCCAATAGGCGTATTTAGCGACCTGCAGGTACGGATACATACACCACCACCTCACTCCATACCAAGTCACGGCATTCGATTTAAATATCTATGCACGTGCCATGCCGGAGTCAGGGGCGAAATTTGACATTTCAAAGCCAACCTCTGAAGGCTCTGATAGTTTGATTGTAGCGTCTCCTTGCCTCGCATATCGGTGCATGTACACATCCGAATCGCACATCACGAGCGACGGACTTAAAAGCCACCAAACAAGAGATGACTCGTCTGTACCTTACGTAAGACAGTCGGACGAGAGACTCAAAGTATGTAAACGTTCATAGTCATTTCTATCCGTACTACTAATCCTGCCAGCCTGTCGCTGGTACGGATACCCGCTAGCTGCTACCCCTGCCTTGGATGCATAGTAAGCATGTTAAGTTCCGTTTCGACCCGCCATGTCATGTCCCCTTTTGTTTGTTTAATGAGCCCTGACGATAGACACACCAGATATCCCATGTCCGGGCCGTTGATCTCTCGGCCAATACACACTCTCTCAACTCAATACTTTAAGCGAACGCCCGCTCATGGCCCTCGCTAACACTTCGCTAACGTCATGCACTTCCCAACTTGAGCGTTTGGCCCTCTCCTTCTCCGCATCACCAGATCTGGATCATCTGGTGCATCTACGGATACATCTCGGGGACCTTGTCCTCTTGGGTTCAGGGCCGGTACTCCAGCACATAGCGCCGCTCCACCTGATGCGTAGTCGATGAGTCGTTTTCGCCATGAAACTTGAGGTTGACCGTCTTGCCGTCCGGCTCCGTGCCGACAACGTCTGCTGCGTAAAATGCCGTTGTCTGCGGGTAGAGCCCGAGGACCATCCTGCCAGCTTCCAGCTTAGCGAGATTGTGCGTCTGGTTCTCCGCCGGGATCGGTATCATGCCCGACGCAAAGGTCTTGTACTCCTTAGGCTTGACGTTGTCCTCCGGCTCCACATCCAAGCACTTGTACCGCCGGCTCTTGCCTTCGCCAATGACGCCGACCACCTCACCTAGTATCCAGTCATACGGTGCTTCGCCCTGCTGCGGCTCATCTTTCTTCCGTTTGAACGCTACCTTGTCCCCTTTGGAGAACGATATCTTGCTTCGAGCTGCAGAAGAAGCGCTTGACCCTAGGGCACCTGACGATGAACCTGCCGTGTTGGAGCCCGTGGAACCTTGCGGTTCGACGCTATCTGCCTTGGGCGGCATACTATCGCGGTTGCTGCCCCTATCGCCGTACTTGCGTGAGCTTCCGCCGATAGGGCTGGGTACTGGAGAGTCGCCGGCTCCATCAAAGTCGTAAAGTGCTGCTGCAGCGGCGTCCCGATTGCGGGTCGAGCTGCCGGTCCGTGATGAGGCACCGGTTGTCGCTGGAGCCTCGGCTGCTTCCTTGGCCTGCTGCACAGCCTTGAGAATTTTAAGCTGTTCAATGAGGTTCTTGATGTTGTTCGAGTTGTTCTCCGACAGCTTGACACCGGAACGGCAGTTCTGCTCCATCTTGTTCAGATCGCTGCCTGATGGGTTTCCACCGTCCATGCTGGCCATGGCTGCCTTCTTGTCAAGCTTCAATAGTTCCGCCAGGTTGTCGTTCTCTTGATTGACACCGTTCACAACCTCGTGGAATTTTTCCTTTGCAGATTCCCATAGCTGCACCTCTTCGCCATGGCCGCTGCCATTGTTGCGGTTTGAGCCGCGGCCGCTTCGGTTTCGCTGAGACATCTTGGCTTGCAAAGACTCCAAAGGACTGGGCTGAACCTCGGGCGAGTCGCGCTTCTTCTAGGTGGACTCGTCGCGGGCAGCCGGGGCAGAAGATGTGCTCGTAGGTATGCTCGAGGTTGAGCTCCCAGGCTTCGGTTCGGTAGTGGTAGGCTTCACAGTTCGACCACTGCGAGGCGGCTGCTCAGCTGTGGTCTTCCGTTTCTGCGGCATATTGATATCAGTTCTGAGTTGAGCTGATGATGGAGATGAATAAATGGAGAGATGATGAGGTGGAAGAGGAACAGTAGAGAAATGCGGGAGAGGGAAAGTTGAGATAGCCAGGTGGAGGCAAGGTAGCTAGGTGCAAGCAGGGAAGGCGAGCACGAAGGCACTTACAGGGAAAGCGCAACGTTCACTTGGTTGTTGCTCCGCCAGCTGTCGCAGGCAGGTCGGGGGTCACGTCCAGTTCCAAAGCTAGGTAGAGCTTGCCTTGAGCTCTTTCTCTGTGGTGTTGCTGGGGTATCTAGGCGCAAAGACGCTATTTAAGGAAACAAGAAAACAAATCGACCAAGAAAACTTAGCCCATGACGCGACCAAAAAAGAAAAAGTCAATGATTTAAGCTTTTGATTTGGCCAGGTCTCTGAATGCCATGGCAATCAAGGTGTTTGGAGATGGGGGATGGATCATGGAGATGCTGATGGCAGAATGCGGGCGGTATCGGGTGACGCGCAGGAAAGCGGAGTGCTGAGAGCTTCATTGGCTCATTAACGCGACTGCTCCAATGTGCCGCTGCGATCCGTCGCGGCGTTGTATAAAACCGAAGTGGGTCAATTGACAAGATACCTCGTACTTTTGGCCAGCCACAGCCAATCAAGACGGAATTCCTCAAATGGTCCTCCGCCATGCGGCCCGACCACTTGCCCGGGGCCCGTGCTCCGACCTGACGGGATGATCGTTTGGAGGGGTCCGGAGGTATTGGCTCCATTCTGCGGGGTCCCCCAAGTGAAGCTCTCCCTGACGTCAAATCTAATGGTGGGGTGAGCATACGCACTCCCAACTTTATTAGTACGACATTGTCGTCACATCTTTCCTCTCCCTTGGAACCTCTGTTCACCGTTTTCTTTCAATCGCTTTGAGCTGTTTTGGCTCCATCACTTCAGTCGCAATGGTCCTACAGGTCCCTCTATTCAAGCTTCAATGCGGAGTGAACTCCTACGAATGGGGAAAGAAGGGAGGGGACTCAGCAGCTGCGCGCTTTGCGGCGACAACACCAGCTGAGGGCTTCAGCATTGAGTCGGAGAAGCCTTACGCAGAGGTGAGCTTGACTTGATTCCTGTATTAACGCCAGGAATGGTATTGCTCATTGGTGTTTGCAGCTCTGGATGGGCACTCATCCCTCAAACCCCTCAAAAGACCTACAGTCTGGTCGCACACTCCTCGAACTCGTCCAAGACAACCAGCAACTTCTCTCTGCGCCCATCTCCTCCAAATACGGCTCGAAGCTTCCCTTCCTCTTCAAGGTTCTCTCCATCAACAAGGCCCTGTCGATACAGGCCCACCCGAATAAGAAGCTCGCCGAACAGCTACACGCCCGCGACCCCAAGAACTACCCCGATGATAACCACAAGCCCGAGATGGCTATCGCCATCACCCCATTCGAGGGTCTCTGCGGATTCCGCCCCCTTTCCGAGATCTCACACTTCCTCGCGACAGTTCCACCCTTGAAGAGCCTGGTCGTCGAAGACAAGGCCGACGAGTTCATCAACACGGTCAAGGGCGAGGAGGAGAGCGAGAACCCAGAGATCAAGGATCGGAATAAGAAAGCTCTGCAGCATGCCTTTGCCGCTCTTCTTTCCGCCACGCCCGAGGAGATTGAGAAGCAGACGGAGAAGCTTGTCGCCCTCGCCAAGTCAGAAGGCAGCAATTTCGCCGGCGGCGGCGTAGCCACAACAGACGGCGAGACCCTCTCAGAGCTGATTCTCCGCAACCATGCCGAATTTGGCGCAGACATTGGCCTCTTCGTCCTCTTCTTCCTAAACTACGTCAAGATGGAGCCCGGTGAGGCCATGTTCCTCGTCGCCGACGACATCCACGCCTACCTCTCAGGCGACATTATCGAATGCATGGCCGCCTCGGACAACGTCGTCCGCGCCGGCTTCACCCCCAAGTTCAAGGACGTGCCCACCCTCGTTGACATGCTCACCTACAACTACGCACCCATTGACGAGCAAAAGATGTCTCCGTCCGAGTACCCCTACGCCACCCTCAACCGCGCCGCCTACAGCTCCGGCTCTGCCGTCATCTTATACGACCCGCCTATCGAGGAGTTCAGCGTCGTCCGGTCGCTGCTGAACGGCGACGGCTCCAAGGTCACCTTCGAGCCCATCGAGGGTCCCAGCATCGTCATCTGTACTTCTGGCAAGGGCACCATTTCCGTTGGCCCGACGGTGCAGAAGATTAGCGAGGGTAACGTCTTCTTTGTCGGATCGACGGCGGAGTTGGTGTTGCAGTCCGAGGGCGACGACGATGACGAGTTTGTCACGTTCAAGGCGTTTTGCGAGATTGAGGAGAAACCGGAGGAAAAGTTGTAGAAAGGGGAATTTTTACAGAGGTGCCAGCGCACACTCTATCCACATTGCCCCCCGTGTTTGAGACGAGGGGAGCAAGTTGTTCATACCCAATATCCATATGAGAAGACCACGAAGAAAAGCATCATGAGAGAGGTTATTTGATTTTTACTCAATTCCTGCCCATCGTGCAATGCATCAGCCCGATTCTAGTAGGGGCTCTTATCTCCGACGCCAGTGGGAATGAATGCTTCTTAGGCCCGTTGGCTCTTCTCTCTGATCAGATAGCCCATGCTGTAGGATCCCCCGCATATTGCACTGGGGACTCTCATACTTTGGGTATTGGGCGATTCATGAGCAGGACATACGAACGATTGCTTCAGCGTGATTCAATTGGCGATTTGTTGAGGGACCGGTCCGTTTTTGGTGATTTGATAAATTATACTCACCCCATGGCTACATTTATGCTACACCTTACGGCTTGCTGTGGCTGGGAACTACTAAGGGAAGTCAAGAGTAACAAAAAATAATTCAGCCATCCCAACGCCTCATGATGCCAGCAGGCAACATGATGAAGACCAAACAATGCCCCCTGATAAACCTCAATTTTTTGATCAAGCATCATGCCCCAAAGCTCCCTGACCCCATACCCCTCAGCCCCCCTTGTCCAGGTATCAATGTCCGCTAATTCATACTACCATTCTTTTTTGTATCACCGTTTCCATGAGGTTCCTGTCATGAGATCCCCTCCCTGGGGATCTTGTAAACATCCATCCGTTCCGTTATCCGAATGCTTTCCCCCTCCACTAAATTATTACACCATTTCAATCAAACTGTAGCAGACGAGCGAGAAAACACAGGACATCAAGGGAAAAGATGCAGACTGGTACAAGATTACCCAACGTAGACCACGCAAGTGCGATGAGGTACAAAACATCATGAAAAGTGAGGGACTGACTGGGAAAAAAGGTAATGAATCATGGATGTGTGAAAGTAGAGAGAGAGGATGATGACATGCGTGTAGTCATGCAGTTTAGGATCGAGAACCAAGAACATAGGCAACCCAAAGAGACTATAGACCTTGCTCTCCTCTCGGAACTCGATTTCTCCCCCATGAACTCAAGCCGTATCAGACACAGCGTGGGGTACCATTGAAGGAGAGACGGGGAAGAAGAAGCCAACTCATGCTCTCTGAGAACACGAAAGGAGGGGCCGAAGAGGGGAGTTGGAGCGAGGGGGTTCGTAACTCCCGTCGGGAAGTATTGGTCCAAATATTGGGAGAGTCTGACTTTGAACCTGCGACGCGGGAAATGGAGGGAGGGAACGGGACGGGACTGGACGGGTATCAGGGGCGGGCGTCCCGGGTTCGGGTAGCCGCATCATGCTGCCGGGATCTCGGAGTGAGATTCGATTCGGCTTTTTGCGTCCCCCTCCCCCCCCCCTCTTGTTCTCGATGACAGCCACCATGCCACACCGAAAGACACGAATGAATGCGTCCTGAGATGCCATTGATGGATGCAAGGCCACATTGGGTAGTATTTTCCAACGGCTTCATTCTTGGGCCCCCATTGCCTAAAGAGATGGAGCTTTTCTAGGCTCTCTTGGCCTCCGGTAACGGTATGCAAGTTGGCGGCGCAGACGTCGTTGTTGTCGTTGGGTACTGTCGATGATAATGGCAAGCAAGGCTGAGCCACATATATGCAGCAGACCACACCCTCTTCACCGGGGAAGAAAGGAATCCCCAATTTCGGTGCCTGGACTTCGTACAAGAGGGCAAGCCACGTCTCGCTTCCAGCTGGAGAAAAATGGGGGGTGGACGATGTGCCACCCCTGCCTGACAACGAAAGCCTCTCCCCTCTAATGGCGTCTTCTGTTTCGACAACATACGAGAGGGAGAATAAGGCTGTGGCGTACTCTGCTTCGACGGCATACGAACAGGAGGCGGTTTTGTTTCCTTAATGACAACCTGCACCTCCCATTCATCGTTGGAGTATGCATACCGGTATGTTTCGTGTTGATAAAAAGGCGTGCAGGAACCCAGGAAGTCGAGAGAGCGCCACGGCTTACGCTGCAGGTTCTCTCACATTCCAGAATAGCACCTGGGAAGATGAATGCCGTTTCTGGATAAATCGATGACGTACATTCTTTCCTCTCTCGCACCTTGGGCTCGTATTCCGATTTCACCGAGTTGGGATTCCCTTCTCACCGGTTACTATCATGGGATGCATCTTCATTTGGCGAGAATGAGCGTCGACAGCGTCGTAGTTGTCTGAGAATCGAAAAGTGCAATAAAAGGAGTGGGCGGATAGAACAAAAGCAATCGCGAAAAGAATGTTGCAGCAAGCAGTGACTGCTATGGCGGAAAAGGGGGCCCCCGATTCCTTTGCTGGCACCACTAATAAGTGAGCATCAGGCGCTCCAGCCGGCCGGCCGGAGCGCAAGGTTTGATCCTAGGAAGCGGACAAGCCACCCGCAGACCTACGACCCGAGTGGTGGTGACTGCTGTGGTGGTGGCTATGGCCGTGATCATGGTGATGGCCGTGATGCTGATGATGATGCTGCTCGGCCGCAACCTCCTCAGAGAGCATGTACTGCCCGATATGATGCCGTCCATGGTGACCCACAGAAGCGTACATGCCCGGCGACGGCGTGGTGACGGTATACTGCTGCCCGTTTGAAAGCGAGCCGGCTCCGCCCACGGGCGTGGTGGAGGACGAAGAGGA